ACTAATTTCATATTGACATCCCTTAAACTGAAGGATACGCGATATGTTCTGAATAACGCCAAATAATTTTCATGAATTTTTGGAACTTTTATGAACCATTCACCTCTGCCCGACACTGATTTTGCTACGGACAACTTATTTCAATTTGGTTGAACCCTGGACTGGTGGCTGTGGTATTCCGCCACCTGAGCATGTATGACTGAGACTCAGTAGAAACTGCTAAAGGGAAAATTTCATCTCACTGCATTTATAGGAGTTTCAACTGAATGCTATCCTACGAATTAAGACGCAAACTGCTAAAACTGTAAGAAGAAAGGTAAGCTGCATATATCTAGATAATTTCTCGGCAATGTCTCAGAATTTGCGCATATGAAAACTTTTGTAGAATTGAACCTTAACTACGTGCTGCTGGTGTGATATTCCAGAGTGAGAAGATTTTTGTCCCGATAGTTTTTCAATGGGCCGCCTAAAGGCCCAGGTGCGTCATCAGACATCCATCCTATGTACCCAGCTAACTGCATATGAGTTCCTGTCATCATAATAAACAGATTTCCAGCTACCCAAGTGGGATCATTTCTAACCCACGATTTATCACGCTTATTATTTAACCTAACCTATCTAAAACAACCTTTTAACAGTATTTACTACTTCTGGATAGTCAGAAAAATAGGAACCTTAATTCACTTTGTGGAGAATTGTTTCGCTAAGTATTTGGGTAAGACTTTTAAGAGCAATAATTGTTATCTAAGTAAATGCTACAGTGAAGTTATGTTTCGGCGCAATTAAAGAATTAGTAAAAGTAATGAAGTTTTTACTCAAATGCTTGTTGATCCTATTTTCATCACAGAAGGACTTAAGCCTGAAAAACATTTACAAATTGTTCAACTGTATTACAAAAGCCCACGGTAAAAAATGTGTTTCGTGCATTTCGCTCAACTTATGGCATGGTTAAAACAATTGACCAACTGAGCTTACTATTCGCAACAGCATAACCTCTCTTGAGACCCAGTATTCATTATAGCATTAGCATTCGAGAGAATAGACGACCTCCAGTACGGAGTGAAGCAAATACAAAAGCCATTCGCTGCAATTCGTACTGACGTATGACGTCAAGATCTTAAATTGAAAGCGCACACAAAGTGGCTTGTGCTTCGCTTTATGGGTTGTTGAAAAGTTCCAAGAATACCTGACGTTTTCGAGCATAAATTTGTCTAGCGCTGAAGTCCATTTTTGGCACAATGGGTGGGTAAACAAGCAAAATGACCACATTTGAGACGAAGGGCTACCATAAGAGTTTCAAGAGCTGCCATTTTATTCAGAAAAACTAAGTATTCGATGTATTTCTTCAAAAATGTTGCCGGTGAGAACGTAACTGTCAATGGCGACCATTATCGCGGCATGAAACCTGCTTTTTGATGCCTGCCATCGATGCTCGTAACCTCGGCGACATTTGGTTTCAAGAACATGGTGCCACTTCCCAAAAATTGCAACAATGGATTTTTTGAGAGATCACTTTAGTGAGCAGGTAATTTCAGGTTTGGCCACCAAATCATGTGATATCACACCGTTATACTTTTTTTCTATGGGAATATGCGAAGTCTGAAGCCTTTGCGGTCAATCCTCGTGCAACCAACATTTGAAAGGAAAATCTTCAAAAAAGAAATGGTCTTTCGAATAATAATAAATATTCCCTTGTTTATTTGAAGTTTCTGTGTTTTTACTTTTAAAAAAGCAGGTAAACTTGAAATGGAAAGTAATATGTGAAAAGATGCTGGTCTTGCTAGAAAAGTTCATGCCTAGGTCTTTGATATTTACATTAGCATTATAGTAAAGAGCGAGTTTAGAGTTGTGTCCTTGTCCTACTCTGGATTCGAATTTAAATTTTCCCACATGTGACTGTGTGATTATTTGTAGGATAAAATGTTTGAGTTTCGAAACCCTGACTTGACCATACAGGGGCACTTAACAAACTTTTAGCGTTTATTTTTTCTTCTCGTATCATTATTGTTTCACTCTCATCAGTTTATTTATACTCTCGCAATAAAGTTGCTAAAGAGAGTATTATAGTTYTGTTCACATAACGGTTGTTTGTAATTCCTAAAACTAAAAGAGTCAGATATAAGGTTATATATACCAAAGTGATCAGGGTGACGAGTAGAGTTGAGGTCTGTCCGTCCGTCCGTCTGTCCGTCCGTCCGTGCAAGCAGTAACTTGAGTAAAAATTGAGATATCATAATGAAACTTGGTACACGTATTTCTTGGCTCCATAAGAAGGTTAAGTTCGAAGATGGGCAAAATCGGCCCACTGCCACGC